CATCTGCCTGTCTCTGCTTCCTGAGTGCTGGGATTAAAGACGTGTGCTACCACCACCTGGCAGTCTCTTAAATAAAGGAGTCAAAACTGGGTTTTTGTGGTTTAGTTTTCCCTCCTCCCAAAAAGAAAAAAAAAAACTTATTTTCCTGTAAGGTCTATATCCTTTAAAACTCGTGACAGCAAAGGTAACCAATATTTTTGGGCATAGGTGACAACAGGTAAGTTTTGGTTTGGGTTGTGTCCTTTGCAACACACACCAATTCTCCACTTTCAGTCCAGCTGCAGTCTATCATAACATACAACATGGACATTTGTTATGAACAGGATGAGAGCTGACTCTGGGATTGTGAACTCCATCTTCAGAGCCCTCGAAATGATAGCTCCCTAGGGACCCCAACAATGTTCATTTACCACCCCTTTCCCTACTGTCTCTGAGCAGGGTGGGTGCACCCTGGGTTGGGGCTGGAACTCTGCCAAGATTGTGCCATGGGACTAAGGCACCTGTGTTTCCAGTTCTGTTGCTACTACCAGCTCGGTCCTGCCAGCTGTGGGATTTGGCTTTCTCAACTGCAAAGCACAGCTGTTTTAATGTCTTATAACTCAAATTCCAAATGCTTGTGCATTCTAGCTTCTCAGATGAGAAATTAAGGTCTACAGACCAGGAAAAAAGGCTTTAAAACCCTCCTGTGTGCTGCAAGAATGGTACTGTTTGAATTGTTATTTTATTATTTATTTATTTGGTACTCAGTGAATTTCATCTAGCATGTATGCGTGTTTTAATACAAAAATGTCTGCTTCCTAATTGGGATGTTGGGTTTATGCTTGTGTGAAATAGACTATTGTAATTTCTAAGTCATTAATCAGAAAACATTTGCTAGATAAAGATGAAAATAATCTATCCTCACCTTATTAAAGCATTTCAACAATGCGCTTATACTCAAGCCTTGTTTAGATTTTACAAAGAAGCAGAAGAACTGAGGTCATGTGATTTATTCTAATAAAAGCAAGCAGGAATGGAAAGTGTATCTGGTGACAGGTATGTGACCTTGCAGCCAAACCCAACAGCCTATATCTGGTTCCTGAATGCCAGCCATAAGGTGGCAGGAGAAACCAACCCCCAAAAGTTGTACTCTGAGCACCACACCTGTGCTACAGCATGCACACACCCATATAACTTTTATATAAAGAAGCCAGGTAGGGTGGTGTAAGACGATAACCCCAGCACAAGGAGTGGAGGCAAGACAATCAAGAGTTTAAGGCTTTCCTTAGCTACCATTGAGGTGGTGGCAAGCTTCAGCTATATGATACAAAGTCTCAACTATATGTAAGAGTGATTCAAGTAGTACTGTTGTAATTTAAGAAAGGCACAAAGACACCATTCAACAGGGTTCAAGCAGAGGATTTTTTAATTTAGGGAGACAATAAAAAGGGGGAAAGGGCAGGGGGGAGACCAGCCTCCAGAGACAGGAGCAGCAGGGAGAGGAAAGAGGGGAGAAAGAGGAGAGGGAGAGAAAGAAAGCGAAGGATGGGAGGTGGGCAGGGCCCTTTTAAAAGGGAACATAGTGAATATGCACAAGTGGTGCAATTAGTGGCTGCAGCTGAAGGTGCATATCCTGTCAGAAACCCAAGGACAGGGCAGTACAAATGCCTGAATACTAACAGTATCTACTTGTTAATTAATCAGGCATCTAGTGTGAGCGGGAGGCAATTTCATGGAGGATCAATCACCGTAACAGCAATCAATGTATTTTTGAAAGTATCTTTAAAGCTTTCTAGATGAGAGTTAAGATGTCATGCTTATTACATGCCAGTCATTGTTCTAACTAGACAAGCTCAGTCATTTTATCCTCACAATCCTCCTGGGAGAATACCATGTCACCATCCTGGTTTTACAGAAGAGGAAAAGGAAGTCAAGTCACTCGCTCAAGGTCCAGGTCTTAGCTACTGTGCTGTCTTAAGACACGGATTGAGTCTGTAGGTGGAAATTCCAACAGCTGAGTGCTAACATTTACAAACCTCTACAACACCTGGCACCAGTGTACTGACCTAGTATTTCCTAAACCAAGTTCATGGTCTTGGAAGATGCTTTTGATAAGAGTCTGGAAGATTCCAGAAAAAGAAGAGCTTAATAGTTAAGTCTGAAATAGTCACAGGTAAGATAGCCACTGAATTTACTTGATTCAGCAGTGCCAGCCACACTTACCTCTGAAACTTCTCTTACCCTCATGTCAACCACACCTTCTTTTATAATGCCTATTAATATTCTAGGTTAAGGCAGGCAGAACATTTAATGAGCTTGGGCTTTCTAGGCTAGAAATGAAAAGCATGATGCTATTCTCTGCCCATACTATTTCCATACACTCTGTTCCTTTAAGAGCCTGATAATGAGTGTGGTGTACCATCTAGACATTGATAATAAGCTGTCAGCAACTCAACAATCAAAAGGGAACCAACTAAGGAATCCGTGAAAGTATGTGTAGCTCACTGAATTTTCAAGGTCAGTTTTCACACATTCTCTCATTTCACTTCGGAAACCGCCCCAATCACACTTCCAGAAAACTGATCCTAATACTCCTAGGAAATGGAATTTGAATCTCAGTAAATGTACCCTGGGAGGTTTACTTTTTTGTTGTTGTTGTTGCTGTTTGTTTTTTTGAGATACCATGGAGTCAAATCTGCAGGCAAAATTATCTTGGGTCTTGTGATCTCTGAGAATAAACGCAATTGGGTACTTCATATGACCTTTACCTAATTTTAATAAACAGGATGCTTTACATGTAAAGTCACAACTCAGCATACCCTAGGTACCTAACTTTCCCCAAAAGAGAGTATATTAGTACTTTGTAAAAATTACTATAAGGCACAGTGTTTAAACAACAAACATGTATGACCTCAATTTCTGTGGCTTTGCTGGGTAACTTTAACTCTGTGTCTCATGAGGCTGTAGCCAATGTCAGCAAAGGTTGTAGTCACCTAAGATGTCCTAGGTACTGGAGGACCTGCTTCCAGGGTGGTTCCCTAACATATGGGTGGGCAGGCACCCTCTGCTTCGGACCTCTAAATCTTCTCTATGGAACTGCCTCTGCAGCCTCCAATTCAACAGGTGACTTGCCTCAAAGTGAGTGACGGGGAGAGGGACAGGAAAGAGCAATGCCTTTTAATACCCCCTCATGTCTATATTCATTTGATGTCTCAGATTTCGGGTACTCAGGGAAGAAACTGAAGCTCCATGTCTTCAAGAGAAATGTATCAAAGAACATGTGCAGACATTTAAAACGACCAGCTAGCAAGAGCATTAGCTTTCATTTGTTATAATGCACCAAGGTCTATTTCTGTTCCTTCCTTTTTTCTCTCTAACACCAAATAACTACCCCACCCCCAGATGTGTACTCATATTTCTTTCTTTCCTAGAAGAGGCCAATCCAAAGTAAAATAATATTTAGTATCCTATCTATACCCAAGAACTACATAATCAGAATAAAAATTGTAACATGTCTGATATATACACACACATATTAGACACATATAATAGTAGTCTTTATTATTATTGTTGTTTCTACCTAGTGGATGAAAATGTTATGAAAGGGGATTGTAAAAATAAAAATGTTTACTTCAAAGCTAGAGAAATGGCTTAGTAGGTAAAAGTGCTTGCCACCAAGCCCGACAACCTCAGTTTGATCCCAGGAACCCCATATGTTAGAAGGGAGAATCAACTCCTGCAAGTTGTCTTCTGACTACAACAGGTGTGGCTCCCTCCAACACCAAAGAACAGACAAATAAGTGTAAATAATAAAAAAATTTTAAATGTTTACTTCAGGCTGGAAAACTGGCTCAGCAGTTAAGAGTATTTGCTACTTGTTCCCAGCACTCATGTGGCTGCTCAAAACCACTTGTAACTCCAATTCTGCATATGTACACATGCACACACACACACACCACAGAGTGGTCACTTCCTCTAGGCAGGCCCCATTTCCTAAAGTTCCACAAACTCCCCAAATAGGAATGGTAGTTAGAGACCAAATATTCCAACAAGAAGCCCTATGGGCACATTTCACTGCTTCCAAATTTTCTGACCCTGAGATAACAAGACAGTGAACTTGGATTAGGATAACAGTGCAACAGGTCTAAAATTAACAAGGAAAACCTGACTGTAAACAGCTTGTTTAATACCTATACCAGGACTTTTACATGAAATTTTGCCTCTGCAATTCTTTAAAATGTTTAAGATAAAGTAGTGTAGAAATCCACAGTGGTTCTACCTAGACACTAGAAAAAAAAAAAAAAAAAGATCAGAATTCAGGGAGGAGAGGGGAGATGGCTCACCAATTAGATCACTGACTGCTCTTACAGGGGATCCAGTGGCTCCCAGCACCCAAATGGTGGCTTAAAATCACACTTAGCATCATTCCAGGTGACCCAACGCCCTCTTCTGGTCTCTGTAGGTACCAAACATGCATATGTTGCAAACATGCAGGCAAAATACTTACACACATAAAATCAAACTTTAAAAACCTTAAAAAAAAAAAACAAAACTAACAACAACAAAATAACACACCCAGGGAAAAAAAATGGATCTTGTATAGAGATGTTCTTCTAAAATCCGTAACTTTGGAGAATGGAGAATGTACAGAATACTCTGGTCATCTGGACAAGTCAAAAGTGTGACAAATAGCTAGGTATGGTAGAGCCTGCCTGTAATCGGAACACTAAAGGCAGATGGCTCTCTGAATTTGAGTCCAGACTAGTCTACATTGTGAGTTCCAAGCCAGCTAAGGATACACAGTGAGACCTGTCTCCAAAAACAAACAAGAAAAGTGTAAGAAATAATTTTGGCCTTAGTATCTCCAACAGTCACTATGAAAAGTGTTTTCATTGTACTGTATAAGAACTTTCCAGAACCTAGCAATTTGTCTCTCCTCTTACCTTCAAAGCATGATCTTCCCACAGAGAACAACAAAAGACCAGAAGGTAGGAAGGCACAGAATGCTAGTATGAGCAATGTTTTCCTATCAAATCATGTATTTACACATGTGCACATATTTCTAGATTCTCCCCACCTCCCGGAAAACATTTCTTTTGCTTTCAGGCTGAATCTTCAAAGATGCCCAAATCACTAGGTATCACTAGCATCTTATATAAATAGAAACAATGAGAACCTAGAATAGTTACTAAACATGGAATAGTATTAGGTTGTTAGCAAATAGCTTAATACGTTGCTTCTTGCTTCAATTTCTAAGAACTTAGATGTGGCAGTTACTCATATCTGATGAAAATTTTGGAATTCATTACAATTGAATAAAATATTTATTGTTTCTTTCCCTGTGGCATGACTTCACTCAGTTTTGCTAACTCTCCAAATGACACAGTTGCAGAACCTCTTTCAGCTGGCCTTGCCTGAAAAAAACAAAAATGAAAGATATTAGATAAAGATAAGACCAGCTCAGAGTAACCCCAATCATGTTATACATAATAAAATATATCCTAAGTAAATCAACAATGAAAAACGGAAAAAAAAAAACCCTAAGAAAAGTGACAGCTTAATAGTGTTACCTGAGAATCATGGTATTTCCATCCTATCATGTGGTAGATCTGGTATGTAGCAGGTATGGAACCATCCTCATTTCTGTACATTTCTGAAAAGACACACATGGTTAAATTCTGTAAACAATTAGGTGAGAAAAAGTAGCCGCTCGATAAAAATCACCCACTTCAAAGATAAATGGGTACTAGGGTAGCTGCAAGACTGAGAATGAATGCCTCACACGATGAGTCTTACCACAGAGAAAGAGTTGACATTATGGAAACAAGAGCTGTTTGGAAACAGATACAGAGATAGAGATCTGTGTTTTGAGATTAAAAAAAAAAAAAAAAAAAAAAAAGACAAAGTCTGACAATACCTTACAAGATGGAAATAAGACTGTGGAGCAAACACCGCACAGCACAAACCCCTCAGAGAGTACAGGTAAAAAGAGTGGGTAGCTCACCTCTGTAAACGGCTGCAGCTGCCAGCATCGTGTCTCGGTGCAGCAGAGGTTTTCTGTTCCAAGAACAGTTGCTCTCACCCATACCTAAAAATAGACTACAGTTTGAGAAAATAGTGCAAATACCCTGGCAGCTTAGTATAAAGACATAATACAGCTTATCCAACAGCATTCCTATCCTCAGTCTCATCCACTTTTCCATTATAGCAAGGCTGCTTACTGACTGGAGCAAAACTGCTTCAATGTCAAGTCAGCTAAGACATTCTCAGGAGAGAAGCCCCGGGGTGCTTCTTCCAACAAAAGCCAAAGTCTACAGTAAGACTGCAGCAAACGCCACCTAGACTCCAGATGGATCGTAAGCACTGGCAAGTACCTTTCAAAGAAAGCCACATCTCACATCCCTTCTAGCTGTGATGCTGTGACATGCCCCCCTCCTTCTAAGGAGCATTATATAATTACAAGAGTGAAACTTGGGAGAAGGCTGTAGGACTCATTAGATATGACCAAAGCCAAGGCTTCAAATTTTGTGACATTTTACTAACATTAGAATTAAAAATTAAGTGTGTTTCCCACAGAGGCACTTTTCTTAGCATTTTAAACTTAATTTGCAGACCTCTTTCCTTATTTTAAAATTCCAAACTCCTTCTCTAGTTAATGGTTAAGAGGCTGTTTACTGACAATTGTTATTGCAGAGCTAGAGACAGCTAGGTTGTACAATATAACGTGTTCAAGAGTCTGTGGATATAACTTAAGGGGTAAAGTGTGTAACCATGATCTCTAGCACCCACATAAAAAGCCAGGTGTACCAGGCAGTGGTGGTGCACGCCTTTAATCCCAGCACTCAGGAGGCAGAGGCAGGAGGACCTCTGTGAGTTCGAGGCCAGCCTTACTACAGAGTGAGCTCCAGGACAGCCAGGTCTGTTTCATAGAGAAGCCTGGCGGGGAGTGGGGGTGCCAGGTGTGATGCCTGCCATCCTAGTTCTAGAACATAACGGGAGACAAAGGAATCCTTCAGACAGCTAGTCTAGCAAATCAGTGACCTCCAGATACAGAGAGAGAGAAGCAGCTAGAGAGCTACAGAAGATACTAACAATGACCTGTGGTAACCACATGTATACACATATGGAGGTTGCACACACACTCATACGGACACATAAGAATATTACACATACACACAGAGGCCTGGGTGCAAGTCTTAGTACTGCAAAACATAAAGATAAATTAATGTAATATCAAACTAATGTTACATATCGTTTATATATTTCATATATATATTTAAAGTTATTTGGAAAGTCCAAGTTTAGATCATTCTACAAAATGTTGTAATTATTCTTAATATTAAAATTTACTACATGTTGGGCAGTTGTGGCATATGCTTTTAAGTCTAGCACTTAGAAGGCAGAGGCAGATGGATCTCTGTGATTTTGAGGCCAGCCTGGTCTACAGAGCTAGTCCCAGGAGAGCCAGGGCTCCACAAAGAAATTCTATTTAAAAAAAAAAAAAAAATTCTTTTTTTTACATGAGCAAATGTCTACTACTTACTTTTAACACTAACCAAGAAATGATTTATTCATTTTCTTCAGTAGTTTTTTTAAATTTTTATTTAAATACTTTCAAATTTTATTTCGGTGGTCTTTTAAAATCAGTCAATAAGGAGGCTAAAGAGATGGTTCAGTTAAGTGCACACACTGCTTTTGCTAAGGACTGGAGTTTAGTTCCCAAAACACATCCAACAGCACACAACAGCCTGAAACTCCAGCTCCATGGATATGACACCCTCTTCTGGCTTTTGAGGATACTCCTTCCATAAGCAATGAAACTGATTCTACTAATAAACCCAATGTCCTGTATTTTGTGACTTTAATGGTCCCAATTCATGAAAATTATTAATAGCTAAAAACTATTAAGTTAATAAATGTGGCCAGGTATAAATTATAAATTATAAATAAACACAATCGAAGCACTTAGGAAATAGAGGCAGGAGGATCGTGATTACAGGGTAATTCTCAGCTATGTGAGAACCTTTTCAAGTACACAAACAACCTCCAACCAAAACAAAGACCATTAGGACTCTGTTCTTTCAGAGGACCTGAGTTCAATTCCCAGCATCTACATCAGAGGCTCATAACTTCCAGTAACTCCAGTTTCAGAGGACCCACTGTCCTCTTCTGGCCTCTATGGTATCATATGTGTGACATACACCCAGAGGCACAAACATACACATAAAATAAAAACTAAAAATAAATCTTAGAAAATATTTTAGACCCACTATATATCCATCTTAAAATATTCTTCCACATCAGTATGGAAATTCCTCAGGAAAATGGGAATCAGCCTACCTCAAGATTTAGCAATTCCTCTCTTGGGCATACACCCAAAGAATGCACATTCATACAACAAGGACATCTGTTGAACCACCGTTCATAGCAGCATTATTTGTAATAGCCAGAAGCTGAAAGCAACCTAGATGCCCCTCTACTGAAGAATTGATAAAGAAAATGTGGTACATTTACACAACGGAGTACTACTCGGCAGAAAAAAAAAACAAAGGAATCTTGAAATTCGAAGGCAAATGGATGGAACTAGAAAAAAACATCCTGGGCGAGGTAACCCAATCACAAAAAGACAAACATGGTATGTACTCACTCACTTATATACATGGAGTTTAGACATAGAGCAAAGGATTACCAGCCTACAATCCACATGACCAGAGAAGCTAGGAAACAAGGAGGACCCTAAGGGAGACATACATGGTCCCCAGGAGAATGGGAAAGGGACAAGATCTCCTGAGCAAATTGGGAGCATGGGGGTGGGGGGAGAGGGAGTTAGGAAAATGGGAAGGGGAAAAGAGGACATGAGGGAGCAGGAAGGTTGAGTCTGGGGAAGAATAGAGAAGGAGAGCAAGAAAAGAGATACCATAATAAAGGGAGTCATTATAGGTTTAAAGAGAAATCTGGCACTAGGGAAATGTCCAGAGACCTACAAGGATGACTCCAACTAACAATCTAAGCAATAGTGGAGAGGCTACCTTAAATGCTCTTCCCCGATAAGGAGATTGATGGCATACCTTATATGCCATCCTAGAGCCTTCATCCAGTAGCTGATGGAAGCAGAAGCAGACACCCTCAGCTAAACACTGAACTGAACTTCTGAAATCCAGTTGCAGAGAGGGAAGAGTGATGAGCAAAGGGGTTCAGACCAGGCTGGTGAAACCCACAGAAACAGCTGACCTGAACAAAGGGGAGCTCATGGGCTCCAGACTGACAGCTGGGAAACCAGCATAGGACTGACACAGACCCCCTGAATGTGGTTGTCAGTGAGGAGGCCTTGGCAATCTATGGGGCCTCTGGTAGTAGATCAGCATTTATCCCTAGTGTATAAATGGACTTTGGGAGCCCATTCCACACAGAGGGATACTCCCTCAGCCTAGACATACCGGGGGGGGGGGGCCTAGGCCCTGCTCCAAATGATATGACAGACATTGAAGATCCCACATGGAAGGCTGCCTCACCTTCAGCAGAAAGGGGATGAGATAGGGAGTTAGTGGGGGGCAGAAGAGGAGGGGAGAGAGAGGGAACTGGGACTGACATGTAAAACAAGCTTGTTTCTAATTTAAATAGAAAACAAAAATTTTTCCACATAGTGAATATCAATCACACAGTGACCAGAATAAATTAGGGTTCACATTGTAACAGTCTATTACCAGTGATGGAGACAGTACTTTAATTTCTGCTCAACTTTCCACTGCCCTGGCTTCCTTACACATCGCATGTGGTAAATACATACACAACACGATTGCACTACTAGATATTCTAAAATGCTGTCCAAACAATCATTACTTGCATATTATCAATAAGATTATTAGGCACATGCTACCCTGTGGGTCTGACCCAGCTCACTTATAAAAAACTCAAGAGTACCCTACACAGCATCAACAGCAACTCCACTGCCTCAGCAGTTCACTCTTCATCAGGGCTGAGAACTGCCTTACTGCTCCCTTTCCTTGTGAAGTACTGAAAAGAACCTGGACTCTGGGATCACAAACTTATGTAACCGAGGAAAAGACTGATTCAGCCTATCTTAAATGCAGTTTTTCATCTTTAAAATGGAATTACTTACAGTATACTCTCGGGAAGCTTTATTGACAATCACCTAGCAAAGACTCAACCTGAGCTCGGGATAAGACCAGCTAGCAGGGAACTGTTTAAGATTCTTAGTGTTTTCACATTTGATCTTAGTCAAAAGGCTGAGATTTCTCACAGTGTTTTTAAGGTTAAGTTCAACTGCTTATTAAAAACAAACTTTAATATGCTACTTCTGGAAAAATAATGAGTATTACCTTAAAAAAAAAAAAAACTGAACTTACCTTAAAACCACTGTGAAAGCCTTGAAAATTTCTCATGTATTCATCAGCTGGCAATGCAACTTGTTTTTAAAATTAGGTCAATATTCTGGACTTTTTTCTGTGAATTAATAATAATGGCAGCTAAAATGAGACACACCTCAACTATTCAGGAAAACAAACAACACAGACGTAGGATATAAAAGCCAACTGGGGAGATGGCACCTTCCAGTTTTGGCACAACTGAATTCCTGAAAGCACCCAAGCCCCTCCAGCTCCCATCGCCCTTGGACTTTTCCCACTGAGTAAACAGCTGAGACGTCAGGATATGAATGAAGCTGTCTGCCTCCGCTAACTACAAGTTAGACAATTCCTTGCCTGTCTGTGCCTTAGTTTCCTCATATATCAGGACAGGCTGATCATGCTAGTTCCAGTCTTCCCTTCCTATAAACCATGCCTTATCAGCACTCGAACAGTGCACTTCTACTATACTCAAATCTGACTCATCGCTGGGGAAAATTCTCAAGACAAGCTATAAGACTCAGCTGAAGAAATCTAGAAGCTTCTGATCCGATATCATTCCCTACCACCCGACTCTTCTATACACTTATGCAATAGTATTACCTTAGTTCCCCCAACATAAGGTTAGGATATACACAACCTTTTTTATTTCCCCGCCCATGATTTTATACACACCGTTCTTTGTGTCACCCCTCCAAATTTTCCCTACTCTTCAAACTCCTGG